TGAGATGAGCAGGTTCATGGTACACTGGGTGAAGAACTGGCTGAAGGGCAGAGCTCAAAGGGTTTTAGTGAACTGGGCTACATCTGCCTGGCAGCTGGTCACCAGTGGTGTTCCTCAGGGCTCAATTCCAGGTCCAGTTCTGTTCAATATATTTCTGAACAATCTGGATGCAGGAGTGGAATGCACCATTAGCAAGTTTGCTGATGATACCAAACTGGGAGGTGCTGTTGACTCTCTTGAGGGACAAGAGGCCTTGCAGATGTATTAGAGCATTGGGCTGTGATTACTGGGATGAAATTTAACAAGTCAAAATGCCACATTCTGCACCTAGGATGGAGTAACGCTGGGCACAAGTATAAATTGGGAGAGGGGGGGCTGGAGAGCAGCCCTGCAGAAAGCGGTCTGGGGGTGTTGGTTGGCAGCAGGCTCAACAGGAGCCAGCAGTGTGCCCTGGAAGCCAGCAAACCACATCCTGGGGTGCATCAAACACAGCACAACCAGACGGTCCCAAGAAGTGACCATTCAGTGTTGGTGCAGCCTCACCCTGAATACTGTGTGCAGTTCTGGGCCCCACAATTGAAGAAGGATGTGAAGGCCCTTGAATGCATCCAGAGGAGGGCAAGGGAGCTGGTAAAAGGGCTGGAAGGCATGTCCTGTGAGGAGCAGCTAAGCACTTTGGGGTTGTCCGGTTTGGAGAAGAGCAGGCTGAGGGATGACCTCATTGCTCTCTGCAGCTTCCTGAGGAGAGGAAGCAGAGAGGGAGGTGCTGAGCTCTTCTCCCTGGGATCCAGGCATAGGCATGTGGGAATGGTTCAAAGCTGCACCAGGGGAGGTTTACACTGGACATTAAGAAGCCTTTCTTTACCGAGAGGGTGGTCAAACACTGGAACAGGCTTCCTAGGGGGGTGGTTGATGCTCCAGGCCTGTCAGTGTTTAAGAGGCATTTGGACAATGCCCTGAATACCATGCTTTAACTTGGTCAGCCCTGAACTGGTCAGGCAGTTGGACTTGGATGGTCATTGTTGGTCCCTTCCAACAGAAACATTCTAGTCTAGTCTAGTCTATTTTATACTATTACAGTGTTGGCAAAGTTAGTTCTGTAGAGCCCTCTTTTACCTTCAGCCCTGGAAAAAGCAGACATAATTTTGGTTGAGAGTGGCATCTCCTGGAACTACTTAATTTGTGAAAATATTAATTTTTCATATGAAAACCAATAAATTTCTAGTTCTTTGATACCAAGAAAAAATTTAGAAGGCAAAAAGCCCCAACCAACGCAATTTATGATTTCAGTATCTTTAAGGAAATATCATGCTATTTGATTAATGCTATGCTTTCAAAATCTTATTCTTAACCTATTTTATTTTCAGCCTTAGTTAGGAAATAATTGTTACCAGTAGTAGTTTATTACTTTTGCAAACATTATTAGTGGGCCGAATGTTTACAACATCTGGTTTTCATAATATTAACACTGGGTGTCAGATTTTACAGTTGGCACAATTTGAGGTAGGAATAAATACAGAATATTACGTGCTTTGTTATAAATTGTACCTTATAATCCAGTATCTCTGAGAGCAGATACATCACATGGACAAGCAGTGTTGAGCATAACAGTACATGTCAGGACTAGCCAATATAAGCTGCTTTAAAACTGTGCACCTTCCAAACATAGGTGTGCCTCATCTTACTTGATAATAATTACAACATAAAAGTACTGTGAAAGGAGCCTTAGCAACAGTTTCCACTTTTGCCATTTGGAAGTGGCAGCTGCAGGGCCTGTGACCAGTGTTCACTGCAAAGCCCATGCCTTCCCATGGAAACTGCTGCAGTCAAAAGGGTTGGTTTAGGGTTCCCTGGGAAAGCAGAAATCAGAAGTGAGTAGAAGACTGCAGACCTCGTTCAGGAAAGGACTGCTGTTTACTGACTGGCTAGGTCAACAGGCAAGCCCTTCTCTTCACACCACAGATTTTTTAGTTTCCTCAAAATGCTGAAGAGAAATTTAGAAGAATGAAGAATAAAGTGAAACCCACAAAGTAGTCCAGCTTGTGTGTCTCAAGTTAAGCATCAGAACCCATTTTGGCACTCAGGTTCCTTAGTTTTGGTCACTGCTTTTGAATATTTTTACTTTGTTATTATTGTTACTGATCATTTTGGTAGAGTAACACTAAAAAGAGAAAGCAAAAAAAAGCCAGTCTTCCAGTATGACAAATGCAGTTACAGAACACACTGGTGTTTTTAGGTTGCGGATAGCATGTGGTGACCAGGAGCATAACATGGTAGCTAATATAAAACCATCGTATGTCACCACAGTGTGTTGTCCATGCACCGCTCTGTCTTCCAGCTTGTAGAAGTTACAACTGGCCTACTAACCAAAAGGAGTGTTTTATTCAAATCAGGTAATGGTCTTCTACATTAACATTTTCAGACCCCTACAAAACTGTCCAGCAGAGGTGTGAGCACTGTACTTTTGAGTATCATTCTTACAAAAGGCTGGCTCTTCTTGGTTACTTTATGCAGGCTTTTTCTTCACTGAGGTTGTGGGCCTCCATGTATTAGAACTGCTACAACTTCTGCACTGCTGTTGGCACGTTAACCTGTGCTTTTCAAATCACTGGGATCACTGCGGCGCGCCTTCCTTGTATTGCTGCCAAACGCTGTGTGTCACATCTAACACATGATGCTTCTGTCTCCCTTTGGGGATGCTGTGTGCCTCAGTCCCCTGCCTTTTGCCGTGGTGTGAGCTCCTCCCCTTAACCCTAGAAAAGATTTAAAAGCAGGCGCTGTGCCACCTGGATGCACATCCCCTCCTCTCCTGCAAGGCTGGCTTTGCTCCCCTGTCTGCTGGTACACACAAATCCTGATTTTGGCTCCTTGCGGGGCAGCGCTGAGAAGTGGATCCGTCCTTGGGCTGTCATTCCCTAGCACTGGTGGTCTTCCCGACTGTTCAGGTATTTGCATCTAACGTAAGCTGGACGGTGATGGGATAAGCCTGTATGAGTAGTGTGAAAGTTTCTCAGTGACCAGTAATGTATCTTTAAATAATTTAAGGGCTTTGGCTAAATGTGCTTTCTCATGCCTGAAATTTTTGTATCACCTTTGGAATCAGTTTGATAAAAGATTTTTCTTTCCTTATTTGACTGTCAAGTTAAAACATTGGTTTCAGAAATGTTTGGAGGTTTTGTGTCTTTTTGTGGAAAAAGTGACTGTGTAAATGGGACGAATGGTACAGAAGCTAAATGAATCTACCAGAGCAATTATGTCTTCTGCAGCACTGGTTCCACTATCTTTCAGCTATTTTTAAGCTCACATTGTCTGCCCAGTGATTTTTGATACATGTTTTTTTGGCTTGCTCTTCTTACAGTTTCTTTGAAGTTATTCTTAACAAATGTCGGCAAACTTTCCAGTTTAAACATATGTGAAAATCACGAAATTACCACAGCAACATCTGAGTAGCTTTTCTTCTGTCTTGCTTGCATTACATAGTTTTAAAGCAGGTGTAAATTGCTGCCTATTCTGATCTGGCTGCAATTCTCAAACTTTTTGTGCAGGTAAAAGCATGTAGGCATGTAGGTGTATTTTATGATGAATCAGCCCTTGCATGTACTGAGCTATATTCAAAGCAAGAAATAATACCCATAATGTTTTGCAGCATTTTGGAAGTGGAATTTTGCTGCTTGTTATGCCCTAATTACTTTTTTTTCAGTGTTTTTAAAACGAACGTGTGAGTTTATTTCAATGGTTGCAGAAAACATTTTTTTTTAATTCTGTATCACTCTTGCTTCTAATTAGTTTGTCTTTACTAGGTATTTCCTGTTGCACGTGGTGTTCCCAGGTTCTTTTGATAGGACACAGCCTGATATGCTGTCAGTAGTAGGGTGTCATCTCAGTGCTTATGTCCACAAATCTAATCAGCAAGACTGAAAGGACAAGAAAATCAGGAAAGAAGAAGAAAAATGGTAGAGAATTTCCTTTTTCTTCAGAGAGTAAAGACAGCATCTGATGCTAAAGACAATGCAGTTGGCATCTTTGATGCTGTTTTTCCTTCTCAGCAAGAAGGAAGGAGTAGTTACAAATCTTCCTTCAGCTGTTACTTCTGTCAGGCAGCAAACAAAAATACTAAAGCTGCTGTGATAAAGCTGAATCTGGCTTTGGTTACTCTGCTGTCTCAAAAAGAATATAACAAAATTAGAAAAAGCCCAGAGATGGGCAATGATGATGGTCATGAGTATGGAAGCACTTCCATATGAGGGACACCTACACAAGCCAGGCCTTTTCATTCAGGAACAAGAGCTGACTGAGGGCAGAGATGACATGACGGAAGATCTCAGAAACGCTCAGTGGCAAATCCTGAGAGAGGCACCACTTACTTTCTTTACCATACTAACCCGTGGGCATCAAATGAAGTTGTAGGAGTTGGATTAAAAACAAAAAAGGAGATCACTCTGTATGCAACAGAGCTGTGCAACTCATTGCAAGAGGGTGTCGTAGATGCCAACTGTTTTAATTTGATAAGTGGATAAAGACATGAAAGGGAAATTCATATATATTTCCTATATACAAAGAAGCTGCATCCAGCTGTTCCCTAGACATCCATTTTACCACTGTAGTAGAGAGAATACTGAACTAGGTGGTCCTTATGTTTTCTAGATCCTTAGATGAACTTTATATTTTTGGTGTATTTTCTAAAAGCCTGTATTTTTAAATGGTCGTCCTCAACTCCCATATTGATTTATTTTGCTGCTTGTTCTTTGTGGCCAGTGACTCAAATAGGAGTGGGTATTGCCAAATACTATTCCATCACCATTTGTAAAAGCAGAACTGGTTCCCACTGTTGCACAAAGGTTATCTCGTACCTAACAGATTGTTGTTGTAGCACGAGCAGTTCTGATGACAGAAAATATTGCAGCCCATTGTTTCAGTTAGACTTGATTCACTCTTAATTTTCCTATACCTGAAGAGTGTTGTTCTAGAATGCTGTGTTGTTTTCTTGGGTTTTTTTAGGAATGGAGAAGGTGGTTTCTTGTCTATACAAAAGGCCAGATGCTCTCTGTAGGCTGATTTGCTTTCCGTGGGCTGGAGGTGGAACTTCTCAACTTTCTAAATGGGGCAAACTCTTCAGCAGCTCAATTGAAGGTGAGTCATTTGTGTAGTTAAAGCAGAACTTAAGCAAGTCTGAAATACACAGCAGCCAAATTTTTTGAATGGAACATAATGTTCTAGAGAGCACTCCAATCTTTTTCCAATGGATCTTATCCAGAAAGGATCCACTAGGAATTAGCATTTCCATTAGAGTACTGAGTTTACTATGTTTCTGTACCACTGTGGATCAAATTGTATTTGACTAGGTTAAAAAGTTACATCGTCAGAGCTAAATTTCACAAGACTATAGTATGCTTGACTGCTTCAGAATCTACTGGTACGGTTCAGAAACAGCTGTACACTGATATATGGTTAATATGTTAAAAAAAAGCATCAGCAAGGTTAACAGTGAAGATATGAACCATTTTTAATGTTGAGAGACTTCATAGAATCTATTTCCATTATCCAGAGTGTTTGCATGGTTTTGCACTCCTTGTATCAAAAGTGAAGCTTAAACTATAGATTTATAACAGTGAAATGACATTTAGTTGCAGTGTGAAGTAATTCTCATTGCTATCAGGCTATATCAGCACTAAAAAGATCCATTGCTGAACTATTTGAGGAGGAACCAAGGCCATTTTCCAGACCTTCCACAAAGGAAAAAAATAATTTAATATTTATAGAGAGCATTGCCATTGCAATTGTACCAGTCCTCTAAATGCTTGTATGCTTTCTGTAAACAGTTGCGCAAGTCATATCAAATTTTCCTTGAAATTAAAAAAAAAAGGCAAAAAAAAAAAAGCTATTGTCCACTGGAACTACTTCTAACAAAGTTACTACGGAAATGGCCTAGGAGCAACTGCAGACACAGATGAATAAAATCAGGGTGCAGCATGCTCTTTCAGACATGTTTTGTGCAGAAAGGAAGCACAGAAGATGCAAACATTTCTGTACTGCTATCTATGGTATTAGGTAATGGTTTATTCTCTCTCTTCTAAAATACTTTGCATCTGACCCCTTCAGTAAAAGTTTGGCAGTGTGCATAATGTCAAAGAGATTTAGAAAAATCAACATTTTCTTCTGATCTATTCATTCCTTAATTTCTCTAAACAGTAGAGGAAAATCCCCAGTTTTGAAAGGAATATAATAAAAGCATGTAATCTGTTCTTCCACACAAATATAAATTGCCATCAATCTATACTATGATCACACGTTTTACTATGTGCAGTGCTGAAGAGCCTGCAAAGAAGAAAACAGGGACTGTACGATTCTATCTAGTTTAACTTTCTAAGGCTGCCCTTGAAAGGATATATTTTACACAAGCCTCAAACTTACTATTATTGAAATTAATGAATTTGTGGTTGTTATTAATACTAATAGTAATAAAATTGCTTTGAAACCTCAGCTGAGATCAGGACCTTGTGGATTTCTGACCCAAGGCATTTATGAATCGGATCAATTGGAGAGGCAACATTTCTGAGCAAAGGAAGGGATGAAAACCTAATCGCTCACAGGTTTACAAGACAGTAGTAGCAATAGCAAATACACTGTATCAGCTGTAAGAAGGATTAATTTAAAAAATCTATATATTCTGCAAAAAACTTAACTAAAATTATTTTTACTGTTTCTATTTGAAATAACTATAATTCTTTTCTCTCCTTTCCTCTACCTCTTCCGCAGTGTCCTCTGTAAGGCTTCCTGGCAGAGAATCTCGTCTTAAGGAGCCTTTTGCAAAAGACATGACAACCATAGTTAATGAAGTTACAAGTGCTTTGTTAGAAGAACTGCAAGAAAAACCATTTGCATTTTTTGGTCACAGGTAAAAATACATTTTTAGATACCCTGGTGAAGGAGCTTTATCTCTGAACTGTAGAAGTAGATAGTTACTTGCCTTTATTTGCAAAAACTTTAGGAAAATACACTTCTGCAAACATCCTCTGTCAGGTCATCCTAAAACATGCTATAGATCTCAAAGACTCTGGTTATTTACTTATTTCAGGCACAATGTCTTCTAAAAATGGCAGTGTTGTGATTTGGGTTTTTTTACACTGATAAATTATAATCATATTTATTGTTAATATTTGTGTCAGTGCTTACTCTATATGAATGCAGGGGGTGAACCATTCATAAAACACATAGATTTTGAAGATCACTTAGTCCCAAGTATTCAAAATAACTGTTCTTACTGCAAATTCAGGAGACTACTAAAAGAAAGATTAAAAAAAGGTCTGATTTGTAAAACTAGACTGTATAGGAATACACTTCATGTCAACTAGCTAATATCACTATAATTTACATGTCATACGTGGTTTTAGTAACTGTTCAAGATAGCTTGTTAGCACTGAAATTCAAATTAGGTTTACATTTTCCAGTTTTTACATCTGTTTTTCCTTACTTTGCTTTAATTTCTCTTTTCACTGCAGTTTTGGATCTTATATTAGTTTAGCAGTTGCGTTACACTTGAAAGAAAAGTATGGACTAGAGCCGATCCATCTTTTTGTATCAGGGGCACATGCCCCAAACGTAAGTTACCGAATCATTAATAGTACGAAACAAAACAGTGTATTCGCTACCAAGAGTAAAAATAACATTTTACATTATGGTATGCAGAGTGGCTTTACTACAAAACAAACATTGCTTCTGAATGCATGCAGAAAAATATTCAGTTTTCTTAGAGGAAATTAATTCTGAGGCAGACGGAGAATCTCACGTTACAGAATATGCACTGCTGCTAAGCTTAGCCTAGGGAAAACAGTCTTCTTAAGCTAATGCTACCTTTTTTGAATACTGTATTATCTACTATGGTCTTTGGCTTAATACTAAAAAGTAATCAAAACAAAATATGAAGTGCTACTCCCTACTCTGTAACATGCGAAATAACTGTCTTAACCTAGTTTTTCACAAACCTCCTGCACCAGCCCTCAATACGTTTGTCCGCTTCTTTCTTTCCCTCCTCATTCTTTGTTGCCTTTTTAAACTGTCCTTCATTCCTTTTGAGGTTCTGGTGGTTCTGCTAGTCTTTCTCAGGAAAACAACAGTCAGGTTGCTTTTCCCCAGCCTTCCTGTCCTCAGTCATCATTTGCTATTTCTGTTCTGTTTCTGGGGCTTCTTGGCAATCCTGAGTACGAGCTAGCACTTCATGGAAGCCATTATTATCCCTGCAAATTTCCATAATCAGTTGGTTTCTCCAGTCCTAAATTAATCAGATTTGTGTCCACTGCTAGGCTTGTCTTTCTCTTAAATCAATTATTAGTTGTATTTCAATAGTAAGAGTCAAACTTTGAACAAAATTAAATTAATGGTTATTTGTCTGTGGAAGTTTCAGACCTTGAGGGTACTTGGCTCACTCATAATCTGTCTTTTCAGCAAAAGCAGTCTACTAACCCTTTCCAAGAAGTATTCTCTGTGGATGTTAAACTATTCTATTTTGGAGACAGAGAATCATTGTACTTTCTTACTAAAGCAATTCTTAATGAAAATATTATTTAAAGTATATTATATACAACACCTGCTCTGTTTTGTCTGGTGCTGACAGTCTGAAGCATTTCTTCTCACGAAAAAAGTACCCATAGATGATGCAGATGATGAAGACATTCTTACATATATACAAATTTTAGGAGGAACTCCTTCTGAGCATCTGCAAAATGAAGATATTAAGAAACACCTGATACTTACTTTCAGAGAAGATGTCAGAGTTCTTCAGACAGTTTCGTAAGTTTTACAATTTTGTATTATATTTATTTTTGTATTTTACAGTTTTTCTTCTGTCTGATCATTTCAGGTTTTCTTTTTTCTTTCTCTGTAATTTGTTCTCTTTTCTGTTATAAAAAGAATAAGAAACAGTAAACACAGTTTTCTCCTTTGTGTGTTTTTCCATTTATATTCTAGTATTTAAGCCCTAGATGAAAACACTGCTTACTGTAGCAACCTATCATTAGAGTAGCGAACATGTCATAGAATCATAAAGGTTGGAAAAGACCTCTAAGATCATCAAGTCCAACCATCAACCCAACACCACCATGCCTGCTAAACTTTTTTTTTCAGGGAGGGTGCCTCCCCCCCGTCCCTGTGCAGCCTGTTCCAATACTTCATAACTCTTTCAGTGAAGAAATTTTTCCTACAATCCAATCTAAACCTCCCCTGATGCAGCTTGAGGCCATTGCCTCTCATCCTATCGCTGGTTACCTGGGAGAAGAGACCAACACCTGCCTCACTACAACCTCCTTTCAGGTAGTTGTAGAGAGTGGTAAGGTCTTCCCTCAGCCTCCTCTTCTCCGAACTAATCAATCCCAGTTCCCTCAGCTGCTCCTCCTAAGATTTGTGCTGTAGACTCTTCACCAGCCTCGTTGCTCTGCTTTGGACCTGCTCCAGCACCTCAATGTCTTTCTTGTAGAGGGGCCCAAAACTGAACACAGTACTCGAGGAGCAGCCTCACCAGTGCCGAGTACAGGGGCACGATCACTTCCCACTAAAAGGAATATTCTCGCATCTTTTGTTGTTTTCTGAGGGTAATAAGCTCAACTGGTCATGCTTCAGGACCGCTGCATTCAGCCTCGTGACCCCAGGCCCCCTCGCCTAGCCAGAAGCGAAGCAGCCCTATATTCTAGGCATCCAGAGAGCGACCGGCTGCTCCTGCCCTGACTGCTGTCCCCGCTGGACGTCCCACAACAGCTCACGCAGCTGAGTGGTCAAGGTTTCTTACCCTGGCAAAGACAAGGACAGTCTCAGATGTGGGACCCATTTTGGCCGTAGGAACCTGACGCTGACAAGGACCTGAAATGTTAGAACTTGAACATAAGCAGACAACATAATCATTTATTGTATGTGAGATTTTTTATTGCAGGTTGAAGCTCTTTTTTTCCTAACTCTTGGGTCATTATTTCTTTAAAATTCTAGACCTGATTGCAGTAGGGTAAGGAGCTAAGAATCTTACAGATACAGTAATTTCTTCTCCTGATGTTCTGCACAGTCTAATTCCTGAAGTTTGTTATGTTTTGAAGGAGAAAGAAAAAGCTATTTTCTGTGTGGAAGCAAACCCCAAATATAGGTACCTTACGGAAAGTTTTTTTACTACTTCTTCTGTTCACAGATTTGAGAAGGAAGAAAGGTATATCCCCTTGTCTTGTGATATCACCTGCTTTGAAGGGTCTGAAGATAAACCACATGACTTAGACGGTACTTTGCTTAAATGGTTTTCCTCTTATACTTACTCAGTTTACTGTTGCATCAAATCAGTTAATGAAGAGTTTTCTAGAGTCTTTTATCTCCTTCTTAAATGAAACAAATCAACAGAACAGTACCAATGTATGAATTATTTAAAATAATTTTTAAATAATAACTTTGAAATAGTTATGTAAAATGACCACAATAGTTGACATCTCTCTGACACTTTAAATATCTTTTTCAGCCTGGCATGATCTAACAAGTGGAGATACTTCCTTTTACAAGCTTCCTGGAGGTCACTTTTATCTGTTGGAACCCTCTAATGAAATTTTCTTGACAAACCACATAACAAGATGTATAGAAAATGCTGGTCCATGAGTATTTCTCTCTGTTTTAATGGCAGAAGGTGTAAGATTAGTCCACAGCACTTCATTCTTTCTGTACAATTGCATGTAGTTATGCCTAAGAGTTGTACTGTTCCTCAAGATCTTTATTGTAATCCTTTAAAAGGGGGAGTTTTTCTGATTTTTTTGAAAATAAACATTGGCTTTGTGTTTTAAAAATAAAAAAGTTTCCATCTTTCCCCCTTCTCATCTTGCATGTGCACAAACCCTTCACTTCATTCCATAACCTCATTTACAAAAAATGACAGCTATGTTATTTTACTTTCAGAGCTTCTCTGTTTGTGTGCTCCTGTAAAAATGCTAAATATAATTTAATACCCACAAAAGTCCACAATTCTTACAGAAAGATCAATTTATTAGGTTCAAATTTATTTAGAATAAGATACAATCTAAAAATAGACTATGTATGTAAATACCCTTTAGAGTAAATCAGCTTATGCTTAAAAGATTCTACTGTCAGACTACACAATAAGGACTAGTATTTCATTTTTCTCAACAGAGTTAGTTCATTAGCTACTGAAGAGTTAGTTATTAGTGGGAATTGTTTTGAGTATTCTAGATCCCGTATTTTTCTACCATTGCTTTTGCTTTAGAGATATAGGCATTCATGGCATCCTCCTTTGATAAACCTGCAAAGAAAAGCAGGAGTCATTATCTTTCCTCATTTTTCATCTTATAAACATGACTACATGATGTGAAATTAATTGGTGTTACACCTTTTTTCAGGTTCCATGCCTCCCATTTGGCTTTGCCTTTCAAATCTAGCATTCCTGGACATTCTGCCAAAATAAATGCATACCTTTGATTACCATTTTGATTTCATCAAGATATGGGAGTAAATGTGAAGTATATATAGGAATAGGAATACCAATATTAATATCTCCAACAGTAGCCTGTTTGTAGAATCCATATAGTTCCTTCAGTTCTTCATCAGTTGGTCTTGTTTTTAATTTTTTTACATCTTCTGCAGCACCATCAAAGTCAGCCTGATGAAAGAAAAGAAAGTGTTAGTTTTCCTTTCAAGTCCTTAAAGTACTAAGTATAGCACACACAGTGGTATCATAGATACTCTCAGTCACTTGGGTTTAGTGGTAAGTCTAGGCATTTTCCCATGAAAGAGGCTTAATAAAACCATAAGTTATTAGAATGGGAACAAGGCCTGCTTAGCTGATACGGTCAGCACTGCTAAAATAAGTAAACCTATTTTTTCCAACAGTTTTACATTTAAACACTTGGAACCACTACAGACTGTCTAGTGTCAGGATTAGAACAGATATATTCAGGCAAGCAGCCTACACAATGAATGTAGTGTATATGTCTTTCACAGTCACGCTGGAGGTATGAAGGCGTCCATTGAACTTTACAGCCCAGCAGTAATCTCTGAATCCTTTTGGCCCTGGCTGCCTGGTGTTGCCTCGAGCGGTGGTGCTCAAACACCCTCTGAGCGGTACTGCCCGCTGCCCCCTTCGTTTCCACTTCTCTGCGGATGGTGCTGTAGGTGACCAAGAGCTGGCACAGATGTGCCTCGTGGAGATGAGCAGTGCTCCTGCCAGGCCCACCTCCAACACCCAGCTCTCAGACATGGTGGAGTACAAGAGTGAAGTGTACATTTACTCCTTTCATCATCGCGCATCCCACATCCACATCAACCCAAGGCTATCGCTGTTATTCTCTCTATACACTAGGTCTCAGGCTATACTTCAGCACGGAGTTTGGAGTCTGGTTTCCTGCCCAGGACATTTCAGAGAGCTACATTTCGTCCAGTGACCACGGGCCCACCAGGTTACTGCACTACTATAATGCAAAAAAGATACAGGCACTTTATATGCTGGTTTCAATAATTATTTTAACTTTTGACTTGGATCTGCATCTGCAGAAGCACAGTATATCCTGCAAGATGTGCTATTAAACATACATTTAATATGTAAAAAAACAGCCTACAACTTTGCACTAAAATCAGCGACGTATTCAACGACGGTTTCAGCAAGAATGCTGTGGCTCTGCTTAAATAACTGTGACCCTGGCATTACCTCTGCAGCCTGTACTGTGCTTCTTTAGACCACTTTTTCCTTTCTCTAGCTACAGGAAAGATCTTTTATTTTTCTTAATAAGAAAACCTAATGCACATTTGTCTCCTTAACTGCTGCCTTTCTCCTTGGCAAGCGACTGTGCTGGGTGGACCAGGTGATAGAAATAAGCAAGTACACGAGAGCTGGGTCCACTATAGCATTCTGTATTTAAACAGAGAGAAAATAAGAGAAAGGTTATTTCTGTATTGAAGTTTAAGAAGGAAAAATGAAAAAGCATTTAATTAGAGACTGATGCTGAAGTATCTTTCTTCAAAGCAAGGCCCCTTCATGGGATCATGGAACTACAGGTTCACTGACGTAAGGACACCTCAGCTGCGGCTGCGTTAGGGCCACAGCAGTGGGTGAAGGAGGGTGAGGACAGGCAGCTGAGCGCCCTGCAGCCTCCCTGCACGGAGACCTGGCCACCCTCCCACCGAATGAGTCACCTCTGCCTCCTCAGATCGAATTCACTTTTTTTTTTGGCTTGGAAATTTGATTTGGCTAGTGAATAAAGTTCCCAGGTATACACTTCTGAGGAATTTCTAATTTTTTGCAAAATTTTCAGTTGTTATTTGAAACCCACAAAGAGAAAGGACAAGTCTAAGAACAAAAGTGCTCACCACAGGAGGACATACATCTGTAACACCAGAGTTGAAACAAGGAGCAGCAGGCACACAGGTGTATTTAAAAGGGATGCTTAAAAAAAAAAAAATCATGATGTATGATAAAAAGGGTGTTCTAGCAAAGGAATGCTCTCTGCAAAAGAGCAATTAAAAACTAATCTTCTTTAAACTGCAGTTCTAAATTCACAGAACATTACATGAGGAGGGTTCACGATGATAATTCACATCTCTAGTTCTGTCAGTTAATAACACCCTTAAAAATGCAATGGAAGGAAAGCTCTTTAGACAAAAATCCTGCAGCAATGCAAATGCTTATTAACAAATAATCTTCCAACTCAGCAAGAACCTCAGTGTTTGCATAACTGACAAGCAGAAGATTCCAGGAGATTCCCACCAAGGCCTCCCAGAGCCAAATGCCCAGCCGTGGATGTGAGAGTACAGAAAATGGCTAGGGTGTTAGAACAGTATTTATCAGCTTTAAGTTTGAGAAACACTGCTGTTTTGTGGAGATATTTTGAATACAATTACCCTGCATTCTTTACTCAGTACAATACAGAGAACTGGACAGATTCCAAGTGCCATTCTTCTGCTTAAAGCTCTGAAACTTGGTCATTTGATGAAGTATACAATTTGGCAGACCTACCACATTAAATTCTAAATCAAATGACTTATAAATTATATTCTTAAGTCTAAAACTTTATAGACTGAAAACATGTAACTACACTTATGCAATTTGTTCCTGTTTTAATAAAAATGATTCTCAATATTAACAAAATGCAACTATAGCACAGAATCATAGAAAAACATGAAGCTTTCTCTCCAACTTTTTGTGTCCGACTTGTTTTAAGACCAATAAAACACTGTGGATTTTTTTTTTTAATCCAACCAAATATTTGGGAGTGTTGCAAGACAAATACAGGATTTTTCTAGAATTAAAAGCCAAAACACCCAAAATGTGTTATATGTAATTCAGGTAAACCAAAATCATGTGCTCCAGACTGCATATCAAAGCTGAATCGATAAAGTTGAAATGACCTTACAGCATCTCTTCTCAGCGTTTTTCTTTGTTTCCATGTATTCTATTGTTTACTTCAAAAAAGAAAAAAATCAGCATTCTAGCAGAAATTAAACTGATCATGAAAGTTATTTTCATTGAAGTAACTGGATTTAGTCAGCTTGGATCAGAATTAAAAATGAATCGATTATATGGACAGCAAAAGCTCTTTTGCTTCCTTGTTCTGGATAAAGAAAATGTAAATATTTTCTTCTACAAAATTTAATGTCAGAAATACAAAACCTGCTTATTTGTTTTCCTGAGAGGCTAGCAAACTGGAGTACAAGCTTTCACACCTCAGTTGAAAGAGTAAATTGTTAAACATTTCATAAAGTGTCTTCTGTCCCAACTCATCAAAGAGTTTAAGTAACATTTGAACTATTTTAAACGCCAACTAGAATCTTCACTCTGAGTTGCAGCTAAACTGAGTTTTAAAAAAAGGTGGTCTACATGATAGTAAGTCCTTGAACTTTCAGACAGAAGCTGCAGTAATACACAACTACTGCACAAATTGCATACATACTGTATGAGCAGAGCCTGTTCTTTGCACCGGAGGCAATTTCAGCTTTTCAGACTGCTGTATGCTCTCGGAGGCCATACCACCCTTCTCCTCCCTGTTTGCAGACCTCGAGTGCTGTTGACTTGGGCTCCCAAGTACTCTAATGACACATACAGTAATAGTTGCCCCATGTTCCCCTGAGAAGCCTCACAAAGCACAAATTCCACAGGTGGTACCCTACAAAGTCACACTGCTGTAAGTAAACAAATCTTGGAAAGTCTACGGAGGGTCCCATTTTAAAAGTAGCCACATTAGCAGATTAATGATTTAAATTAAATAATAATAAAAGCAAACATTTCCCAAAACCACTTCAATCATCATTAAAGCATCTAGTTGTTACCAACTAACTAAGCCTATGGATTTCCTCCGCTCTTTCCATAACTGTACCTTACTTCTGATCATCTTTTGCTTATTAATGGGAGGAACCCCTACCACAGGGTGTCACGCACCATGCCGTGAGAACACCAAGGAGCTCTGTACACAGGGGTCAAAACTGCAGTCTAATTACACAAACACACCTGTCCACACGTGCGCTAACAAAAGTATGTTTAATAGGTGTATAGCATTTATTGTGGAGATGCACTCAATGAGGGGAAACAAAATCAGCAATGCAACCAACTTATCACAGAATTAAAAACTGTCCGGAAGAAACTGGAACTTGTTTAGCCTGAAGAGAAGGCTGAGAGGGGACCTAATATATACTTACAAATATCTGAAGGGTGGATGGGGCCAAGCTCTTTTCAGTGGTGCCCAGTGACAGGACAAGGGGTAATGGGCACAAACTGAGGCACAGGAGGTTCCGTCTGAACATGAGGAAGAACTTCTTCCCTCTGAGGGTGACGGAGCACTGGAACAGGCTGCCCAGGGAGGCTGTGGAGTCTCCTTCTCTGGAGATATTCAAGACCCGCCTGGACAAGGTCCTGTGCAGCCTGCTGTAGGTGACCCTGCTTCGGCAGGAGGGTTGGACTAGATGACCCATGAGGTGCCTTCCAACCCCTACCATTCTGTGATTCTGTGATTCTGTGACCCCTGTCACTGACTCCTACATTACAGACCTCTCTTGATATTATCCATACGCGTACAAACAAAAGCAGCATTCATGCTCTTGTTAACAGTAAGATTACAAAGTGGTATCGATAATAAAACATAACCGAGTTGCCACAACTGATTAAAGTTTAAGTAAGTTTTATCTTCATCTTTATACTGCAGGCACTACCGCATGTGAGCCTCTGCTGGCATTGATGTAGAGGGACTATTCAAGTCAGTGGAAATCTTCCACAGGCCTTGAATTGTTTTCTGATCTAAATTTCACAATAAGAATGAACTAGAAGCTTTGTTAAACTTGTACAGACAAAAGATAACTCAAAAAATAAAGCAAACCATTAAGTTAATAAGCTTCTTATCTTCATATACTTCCATTTAGATCTATAGGCAAATATCACAAGATACTGTTTTAAAAATACGCAAATTCATATCTTACACAGCAAGAAATGTGCAGAAATTAAATTTCAATACTGAACACTCCTTTCTTCATCTCCCTCTGGCTAATCCATGTGCACAGACTGTTGCTTAGGATTCGCTTGCTTACACAACATGCTTAGGAGCAGTCTATAAAAATATAATTTCCTTTTAATCATGTGCCCATACAATTCCCTTCAACTCCTCAAATTAAAAGCCTTACAGACATAAGCATACACAGATGCAGTGAAGATAAATGCACAAATTATCAGACTATTATCACATACTCGCTTTTTGCAAAAAAGAAAGCTTGAATGAATTCTTCATTTACAGCAGAATATTTTACCAGTTTGCAGAACTCATAAATCTTTTACAGCCTCCCTGATGAAAACATTATTTTATCTATTTTGTCCTCATTCCTATACAGCTTGATTCAATGAATTCTTATGGATATGGATGGTAGCTGTCAACCAAAGGGACAGTAGGATATGGTAATATTTCAACCACTGATTTTTGTGTGAAAGCATAACCGTATACAGCAATGGCATATCCCACTGCACTCAGCTCATTCTCACAGTGATTTATGGCTTACTGCTTAAACATCAGGCTAATACATTTATTTTTTAGAGTGAATTCAAGGCAAAATAAAACAATTTTTAATTTTAGTGATTGCTAATTAAACAAAGGTGGTGTCATGTCTGGGATTTGGCAGTTCTGACCCACTGAAGAAACAGGATTCTTCCTCTTTACTGTAAAATGGCACCATTAAACCTCTGTGCCATTCAACATAATTGCAGCTCAGAAGAAAACTGCTGAGCTACTGCCAATACACCCCCTGCATCTAGGTCAGAGCATTGTGTTGCTCACCCTTTGCAAAACACGCACACTGACCAAGCCGAGACAGACATTATAATGAGACCGGGATAAAAGGGCTTGCAAATCTTGAAGTGAAAGGGATAATAGAAAGCCCCATGAAGAAAAACAGTCCAATCCATCAGGGCATGGGCAAGACAAGGGAAGTATTCATAGTTTGTTACAAAAGTAGGAGGCTAAAAACCAGCAATGAAGATAATTTCGTCAAGAGCTATTTAAATCTATAGTCAGAGAGAAGGTAGAAAGTAGAAGCTTTCCTATCAAAACACAAGCACGTCAAAATGTACCACTCCAAAGATGCACAGACCCTAAAAAAATACGCACAACCCCCTTAGAAATGATTCATGCGTCTCAAATGCATATACACCACTGCTTCAGCATTAGAAGTTTCCCTCCTCCTTTTACAGCCCCAAGTAACTAGCTAGATCCTAAAACAACAAATATGTACCTACCTTTCAATGCATAATCCAGTCCTAGCAAACTCTGCAGCACACGTAAAGAAAAATAATTCACATATGCTCTGAAGAGGTAAGGCTCCAAAAAATTACGTGACCTACAAGTAGTTAAAAATCAGCAGCGTGCCTCTCACCCTCTGCTTGCAAAAAGTAACGAATTATTTAACCTCCAAAGGCTTAGGCAAATTTCCCGTGCTGCAAGGCAACCTTGATTTTGCAGTAACAATCCTTATGCTGAAGAAACACCGCTGTCTCCGACCAAGCGTCACATAGACGGACAGTGCATCCCTCCCTCTCCTCACCTTGCATCTCTCTCTATTCTATTCTATTCTATTCTATTCTATTCTATTCTATTCTATTCTATTCTATTCTATTCTATTCTATTCTATTCTATTCTATTCTATTCTATTCTATTCTATTCTATTCTATTCTATTCTATTCTATTCTATTCTATTCTATTCTATTC